CTCCTGAGAACAGACACGGATGCGTCTTTAAGTTGTTTTAATATCAATGACAACACAAATGTAACATTATTGTCTAATTAAAATATTTATAACATTATGATATTAGAGTCAAAGTACGTTCAATGTCAATACTGTCAAAGTCAGATGACATTTTTCGATATGACAATACCATTGACAATACTCAATGTCAAATTTCTTGGAAATGATGACAATACTGTCATTGTCATCATTACTGTATTTTTTGAAACTAATGCTAATTTCAATTTGAAAACGTAGTATTAAATTTAAACTAATACTTATTTATTTTGTTCTTTTATTTGCATATTTGCATAGTCATTTTGGTCTTAAATTGGCCAATAAAAATTGTTAAATAAATAAATGAAGAAAAGAACAATTGAATAAAATAAAATGTACGTGACTGCTTGTCTTCTGATACCAATTCGAAAGCAAAAAATAAAATCACAAATATTTTCAATAATTGTTTAGTTTCGGAAATTATGGTTGGTTTTTTATGTTTAAGATATATATCCAGTTCATTTATATTGTATCTTTTAACGTATCTTTTAATTTGTTTAACAGTTGGTTTATAGTTTTCTATTCCAATACCTATATTTCTATTAGTCGTGGTTGCGTCTTTACGTTGTTCATCTTTTTTCTTTTTACTGAACTTGTGTTTTCTATCAGAAATTTCCTTGAAATTTGTATTGTTTCTATTACTCCTGAGAACAGGCACGGATGCGTCTTTAAGTTGTTTTAAATTAATTTCATCTTCATCCTCGTGGTTTCCATCAGATTTTTTCTTAAAATTTGTAGATGATTGTTGAATGTTATTTGTATTAGTATCGCTTTTCGTTTTGCTTTCAGTTTGAATGGAATGATCAGAAGGATTACGATGTGGGAAAAATTGTTTTTGCGAAGAGGACCTATTGAGATTACTGTTCTGACTCTCAGAATTATGTGTTTTGTCTTGAGAAACAAATGGATTTGTTAATTGGTTGCGTTTTAATAAAGTCCAATATGATCCATTGTTCGAATGGATCCAAAAAGTGTCGTAGTAATTTCTCTTGTCTCGATACGTCAAATCCAATTGCAGATTACCGAAATCTTGTGGTTTATCCAATTCTTCCTTTATAAATCCGCAAGTTACATCCTTGGTATATAACATATAACCTGTATTGAACTCTTCCCGTCGCAAGTTTTTATCCAAATATTGGATGTAGTTATTAAAATTATTTGCTTCAATGCGAGACTTCAAATATATCATGTTATCCGATATTGAAGTCATCGGACTAGATTTTGGCACAACAACTAGATATTTACACTTTCTTATATTTTCATCAACACTCATTGTGGATTTTTACTCTGGAAATGATTAAAATTATGTATAAGTAGATGTGATTATTGCTATTATTAATACTGATAACACACATCCTTTTGATTTTTCAACCTTACAATTAGATAACAACAATTACAGATAAAGTATATTTATTTTATACCTCGCTATGTGATATCAAAACTGTATATTATTTACACCTCTACACATTTTACTGTAGTTGTGCTTTCCAAAATTTCCCCAATTTTCGTCGCTTGATACAGAAAACACGGCTTAAACAACAGTGTGCAACTCCGCGGTTCCGTATAATTGGGCAAGATTTGTTGTTTTTGGGTTATTATCAAGAAGTCCGCAACCAAATGTACATATAAGGAATAACTATGTAATTGATGCATTACCTTCAAAATGATTAGTATCATCAAAGAAGATAAGATTTGCAGAATTTTCAATTATGAATAGGTGGGTATTTTGTAGATATGGGTAATGTTCTAATCTCGGTTTATTGTTGTATCTACACTACACCTGATATGAGACATCGGTGGCAATCGCAAGCCCGACGTTCGAAATCCCGAGTGTATCGAAATCCCGACTATATCATAATCCCAACTACCATAATCCCGACTATATCGAAATCCCGACAATGTCTTTTATTGCTATAAATTTCTACAATAACATTTTTATGGTAGTCGCGATTTCAATATAGTCGGGATTTTGATATAGTCGGAAAATCGAAATACCGACTATGTCAAAATCCCGACTACCATAATCCCGACAATCAAAATCCCGACTATATCGAAATCCGACAGTGTCTTTTATTATTATAAATTTCTACAATAACATTTTTATGGTAGTCGGGATTTCGATATAGTCGGATTTTGATTGTCGGGATTTGATATAGTCGGATTTTGATTGTCGGGATTTTGACATAGTCGGGATTTCAAGCGTCGAGATTTTAATACAGCCGGTATTTCGAACGTCGGGATTTCGATACAGTCGGGATTTCGAACGTCGGGATTTTAATAGACGGTCTTTCGATTGTCGGGTTTGTGATATAGACCTAAGAGACATACATGCTAATCAGGTATACCAACTACTATTTTAAGTCATTGAGTTTGAAGCTACTACAAAATTAATTGATGTTGTTGTGTATACAATAGTTGGTACCCATGCGTGTATACCTAAAACTAGGATTGATCCAAAGAAAAATAAATTTATTTATATAGCATACAGAAAAGTTCTTACTAAACTAATTTACTCATGAATAATATAAGCAAATAAAAGCATGTAGCTAATAGACATTAAGCAATCAAATTCGAAAGCTACAAATAAAATCAGAACTATACCCAACAGCAGACTAGTTTCGAAGACATCATAGGAATTGTCACATTCTTCAATAAAAGTTCTTGAAATAATCTCAGTACACTCTTCCAATTCCTGAAGATTAACCATACTTTCCTTACTATCAAAAACCGTTTGATTCAAAGCTAAATCGTTTTTTGATCCATGATCATCCTGCGTTTCAATGTCTGAAAATCCTTGATCATTGTATTCAATCAAAGAATCTTCCACATCATTTCCTTGAGAACAAATCTTGTTAGATTCAGATTCTATATCTAACTCGTTCTGATCACCAATTGCTCCCTCACCATCTGCAAAATATTGTAAACTAATTTCAGATTAATTGAAAGTTTTAAATTGCTTACCACCAATAATTTGATCTGAAACTTTTTCATTCAAATCATTATCATTTACTCCCGTTGTAAGAATTTCATGAACAAAATAATCTTGGATAAATCTATTTTCTTCAGATGAATCAACAAATTTTTTCTCAGTGAGTAATGAGAAGAACCTTTCGCGTCTGATAAAGGATTTCGTCACCTTGAACGGTTCTTTCAATGAGTAATTTACTACTTCAGTGTTTAATGCAGGCTCGTTTTCAGCTTCCTGATGAGGTGTTTTCGATTTCATCGGTATTTTCATATTCAATAGTATTATAGATTTAACCAGATTATCCAAACCGATATCCTTCTCCAAAATATCCGCCAACAAGGCAACATCGGAAACCATTATTTTCCATAACAGAGTGTTATCAATGTATGTCATAAAGTTATCTTTGCCTTTAGGTCCTCTTCTTATCCTTATAAATGCATTTTCTGTAACATTTTCACGAGCATCTTTATAATCTAAATCTACTTTGCTAGATGTTGCGTCTTGTGCGGCAAGCATTCCAAAGCCTTTGGGATTATCAGGGATTTCTACTATTTGCGGCATGATCTCGTACTTTTCCGCTGCTATTATACGACCCAACTTGCATTCCTCTTCAGTTGGAGTGAAGTAAAGTCCTGATGTATACGTCAACATGTTTCTGAGCCTTAGTTCATATTGCAGCGATCCGATCGTCGAAGTCGTGTCTAGTAGGAAGTAGTATGGATCAGAATAATAATCTGCTAGGAATATTTTAACTGTAGGTTTCCTTCTAGAAGACATTTTCCTAACTAAGTAAGAAAAAAATAAATATTATTATTGATTTATATTTGAATCTTTAGGAAATACTTATACCTAAGTTAATTGATCTTTTACTTGGTATAACTGAAACAGAAATAAATTTTAATTTTCAGTAATTTACGCAGATATAATTATACATTTAATCAAATCGCTATTGGTTTTATTTTAAAAACAAAAAAAAAACCTAACCTGAAATAACAAACTGTCACCTGAGAAGTGATTCAAATTAAATGTTTTCTTCGTTAAAATATACATTTTTGTTATAGAATTATTATATAATTTGCATGTAGTAATTGAATAAAACTCACCTATTCTCATTAGAACACACAAAAATGTATTAATATATACTTCAACGTATTTGATTCTACACAACTAAAACAAGCATTGACTCAACCCTTTAGCTTTTGTTTTACTTTCATGAAACGCATGTTCTTATTTACTTGAAATCAATTAATTGAAATTATTATAAGATTATATATATAAATATAATAGTAAATAAATAATGCATGAATACTTACATAAGGATCTATCTTATTTAATCCACTATAAACTGTGTGATTTTCTTCTCAATTTAAATAGCGCAACATAAGCTGCCTGCAACAACAATGACAGTTGAATCAGGCATCCAACACTGCAATTCAAATAATTCAATTGTTTCTCAATTAATAATACCAACTGTTTCTTCTTACTGTTTTGGTGTATGCTTGGTGATCTATACGATTTCATATGATATTCACATTCTGTCTCCTTTGGTATTCACATTCCGGATATTAATATCTCAGAGTCGGGTATCAGAGTATGTCATAAACCCGACTACCATAATCCCGACAACCAAAATCCCGACTATATCGTAATCCCGACTACCATAAAAATTTATAATAAGAAAAGACACTCTCAGGATTTCGATATAGTCGGGATTTCGATACACTCGGGATTTCGAACGTCGGGATTTGTCGGGCTTGCGATTGGCACCGCTTTATCTTAGTATATAATACATTTGACTTTGTTAGGTTAGGTATACAGATTACTAAAAATGCTATGGATCATAGTTATGGGATTTATAGGTGTACTGAGTAAATTAGGTTAGGTTCTTAAAGAATATAAAGTATTAAGTTATTTTACTAATGTATTTATTCAAAAAAATAATAAAAATATACATGGACTATGGTAACTAGTAATAATAATAACTAAAATGATAACTAAATTAGATGACGTGGAACTTGTTTCGGCCGAAATCAAGATGTATGTACACATTCCCCGTTTGACTTAAGAGTTAATTTAAAGCTTCGTTTCCATATTTTTGTTGTTGTATTTTCTTTGTTTCTTTACGTTTGTGGTGTTGATCATATTTTATCGGTGCTGATGCTAATGTCAACTGACGTCCTGTCAGTGGAGTAATTGACGGACTCGTTGATCCTGACTATCCTGCAATTGAAGAGTCCCAAGAAGCTATCCTTGAACATCTCGTTGTACTTGAGCAGATAGAATCCGAGCGCGATGTTCTTTCCAACTTTAACCGAAGTCCCGAACGCTAAGATGAAGTGCTTGAAGATTGATTCGCTTGTGAAGGTGAACTCTGCTATGATGTTCACCACCCAACTGAATAGGCAGAGACAAACGAAGATTGTGCCAAAGTTGAGGCGAAATGCGCCGTCTCTACTGATATCACCGCGGTTCTTGCAGCGAAGGTAATACTTGGCGCAGAGGATGAGCAAAAGGCAGGTGATGAAAACAGCGTAGACGGCTCCTTGGATGAGCGTCAGCTCATCCCTGCAGTACTGAATGTTCACGTAGAAAGCAACAGCGATCAGATTCCACATGAGGACAAGGACTATACCTTGTGAGATGCATTTCGAGTTGTACATGCAGTTGGTCATCATGATGATCACGAATGTTGTCGTTATGATTTGAAGGGATATCTCTAAGTTGCTCAAGATGCATTGGATGTGAGGGTAGTTGACTGATTTGTAGGTGTAACGCACGATGCGTTTGTCTAGGTAGTATAGCAAGAGGACTAAAAGGGTTAGAAGATCGGCTGCGCACACGTTTAGGATGTACATGTTCGTCTTTGTGCGCATCGATCTTGAACGCACTATCAGCACTATCAGAAGGATGTTCACTATTATACTGAGCACGTTTATTATCGTTATGATCAGTTCGTAGATCACTTCCGGCTCCTCGGATATGTTTTCCAGCAGCGCCATCTCGAGTCACCGTCTGTAAATCAAAAATAATATTCAATTTTAGTACATCATCACAATCTTGTGAATCTTGTCAACTTAGTAAGTAAGCATAATGACAGAAATCATGAAGACGTAAAATAAAAACATGACAATGACAAACCAAGTTACGCATTTGACATAAATGACAACCAAGTGTAACAACTATTCCATAACTGTCACCAAATATTATTGGTTAACATGGAGATACATGACAACCAATAGTACCACAATATGTTAGTGATTAGTTAACCAATAGAATTTGGTAATCTTGACAGGTATTGTAAAAAATATCTTATATTATTATTTTTTGTATAAATGAAGCTATTCAAATTATTTATGTAAAACGTGACCTTAATGTTATTTATATATGAGAAATACGAGGAAATTAATTGCTGCAATTACAGCTGACATAGCTAAAGGCAGATCATGAATTATTAAAATAAATAATATTTCTATTTGCATTTACATTAAGACATTTGTCTATTCGAACATTGATTTAATATCCTTATATAATGTTTATTCCATAATAAAATTCAAATTTTTTGTTGGATTAACATGATTTTATGGATGAATACTTCAAGTTAGTAAGATTATAAGTGAAATGTAATAATTTCTTAGAATTTCTCGGGTTCCCTAGTTAAACTGAATTTTATCATTTTCTATGCAACAATAATTTGTTTTCATCTATAAATCATTTGTAAAACATTCATTCACCTGATCTGATTTAATTCAAGATCCGAGTACTTTCACTACACGTTTCTCGAGAAATAAAAATGAGATATTTTCTTGCAAAAAATAAAATAAATCAAAGATATCTGTGACCTTCACATTGTATGTAAATACACACAATGAAGAAATTGTTGCCTCGAATTGCAACTAACTTCAATACAATTTTGTAATAATATCCCGCACTACTTGAAACCGGACTAATCGAGGACTAAAAAACTGTAGAATTTATTTTGTCAATTAGAAACCGCATTGATGAAAGCCGCACTATACGAGGTATTTATAGTTATTATATTAATATATACAACGGATTTTTTATTTAAATTCAGATTTGATATTTGAAAGAAGGAAATAACTTGATATATTATTTACTTATATAAATAAATGTATATATTTTTACATAATAATCTGAATAATTTGTTGCAAAAGGAAACAAAAGTATTTGCAAGATCGAATGAACAAAAAAAATATATATATAAAAGTACTTATTTCTTGAAGGTTCTGACACACTTAACTTCTAAGATACAGATTGAAAAATGTATTAAATCGAGCGTCGAGCGACGGAATCAGAATGGAAAGAATAAAAAAAAATATGTAGCAAAGTAATATACATAGGTAATTATTACGTTCGAGAAGGTTGTTGAGCAATAAAGAAATTGATTTAGTTTCATAACAAAAAAAAATATAATGATTTACTCAAGAAAGTAATAATTATTATAATACATATCTAATCTAGATTGATTCTTAGTGATATTTGCATTGCAATTCCATACGCCATCTATTTACAAAGATAAAAACTATATTTAACCTCAATCAATTTTAATTTACTTTTGTTTATCAACAACAAAACATCTGCAAATTTTCTTATAATTTCATACGCCATCTATTAAATAACTCAAAAAAAACTAAATAAATGTCAAATATTATTTTATTGGTTTGAAAAGGATACAAAAAATAAAGTGGAAAGTTACAAATAATATTTGTTTAACAATTGGAAGCACGTACAAATTATGGATAAGACAAATGTGTAAAAATTGAACACGTAAGTACTACGGATGGATCAGAATGACCCACCTGATATTTCCTTTCATTCGTATTCTATTGTGGTGCTTGACCTTCTAACTATTCTAGTATTTTCTAGTGCACTTTATAGTAGGATCAAAGGAGGTTGCGGTGAGTTGATTCTAGATTATATTTCGGGCCTTTTTAAATGATGACAAATTCATTAAATAATAAGTATTAATATATGTTTCTTGTAAAATTAAACAATAATTTGTTTTTTTTTATATTCAATAAACGGGTCATTTTGACCCATATTAGTACTTGTGTTTTATTTCATTATCCGAAATAGTTTCGGGTTAAAATAAAATATGAATAATTATGAAACTATAGCAATTCATAATGAAGTTTACTGAAAACAGATGGCGTTAATAATTAAAATTCAACTGTTAATTATAAAATGTAATTAATATGTTTTCACGTACTTTACGCAATTGTTTGCATTAATAAAATTCCTAATTTATGCAAAGATTTCTCCAGATTGTGAAAATACTTACATTATAATTATGTTTTTTATTTACAATTGAGGAAATGCAGAAATTTATAACACTATGTGCAGAATAAATGACGGTTAAATTTGAAGGATCCAATGGAAAGTTGAGTTGAGTTTTTTTTTAATATTCAATAAACGGGTCGTTTTGACCCATAATCAGTACTTGTATTTTATTTCATTATCCGAAGTAGTTACGGACTCAAAATAATGTAAAATATGAATAATTATCAAAACTATACCAATTCATAACGCAATTGTTTGTATTAATAAATTTCCTAATTTATGCAAAGATTTCTCCAGATTGTGAAAATACTTACATTATAATTATGTTTTTTATTTACAATTGAGGAAATGCAGTGGTTTTCCACGAATGACCAATAAATTTCTAACAATATGTGCAGAACAAATGACTGTTAAAATTGAAGAATCCGATGGAAAGTTGAGTTGAGTCGAAGAAGACTATTAATTATCTTTGATTTGTATTCCTTGAGTCTCGTCGTATATATTATTATACTGTTTATCCGTATCGTTCGAAGAGCTCTACGATCCATTTCCGCGTTGCGTAACAATACGAGCAACATAAAAATATAAGAATCACCGTAATTTATTTTATTTACTTTTCGGACTTTCTTCCTTCCGCTCGACTTTCTTTTTTTTTTACATTTCACACAAAATCACCAGCAAAAAAATGAGCGACAAAATACGCAATTCACTTGAGACAATGACCGATCATTAAACAAATTCAAAACCAGAAACATAACTATTCTGTGTTGGATGTTTATGTAATAGTTAGAATAAAAAATGAAAGTATAATTTTCTTTTATAATTAGTTAATGTTAATTAAATTAAATAAAAATGAGTGTCTGTAATGGATTATAAAACTTTAACAATTCAATATTTTCCACCTAAAATAATGATAGAATTACAGTAAAAAGTTAGTAAATATTGAAAATCATTAAAAAAATAAGTTAGCTTTTCTTAATCATTTTTATTACGAATTAACTGATTCGATATTAAAATAGTTAACTTTTCTTACTCAGTTTTGTTTATTAAAAATTAGACAAATTTATTTGGTACATACACAATATTATTCTGTATTTGTTTTAAAACTTTCTGAATTATTTTATAAAAATATACGCAGATAATAAAAAAAAAACTTTTCTTTCTTATTTTTCTTACGAATTAAGAAGTTGAGACAAATTTATTTGTTACGTATATAATATTATTCAGTATTTTTTAAACATTCTTAATTATTGTACTTAAAAATATAAACATTAAAAAAATTAACTTCTCACACTCTTTTTTCTTATAAATTAACGAATTTATTCAAGTTTAGACAAATTTATTTAATTGATACACAACATTATTCATTTTTAAACTTTCTTAATTACTTTACTTAAAAATATACGCAGATATTAAAAAAAGTCAACTTTTGTTACTCATTTTTCTTACGAATTAATGAATTCATTCAAGATTAGACAAAAATATACGCACATATTAAAAAAAGTTAACAAATTTACGGATTTATTCAAATTTAGACAAATTTATTTATTTAACTTTTCTCGCTCTTTTTTCTTACGAATTAACGAATTTATTCAAGTTTACACACATTTATTTAGTACATATGCAATATTATTCAGTATTTTTTTTAAACTTTCTTAATTATTTTGCTTAAAAATATACGCAGATATTAAAAAAAAGTTATCTTTACCCATTTCCTTACAAATTAATGGATTTATTCAAGTTTAGACTAATTTATTTATTATATACACAATATTACACAAAATCATAGTTTTGATAGTTTTTGATTAAAACAATCTGCACTGAAAATCCGAATTCATAATTCATAAATTTACGTAATTCGTATTTAAATTGTAAATGATATCGGCTTACCAAGAAAACAAAAAAGTTGCCTATTTATTTGTTTTATTACTTATTAGTGAATAGAACGCATTTAAAGTGCAATGCAATTCGTATATTCAAATATTCATATTGAAAAGTTGTTGTGATTTCTACGCAAATTGGGTTTTCACCTTTCACATTCATTCACCTAAGTCACCTCACGCAAATGGATAATAAACTGCACAGCATGTTTACCTGTTACATCATCAATTACTCTAAGATATTAGCTAGGTCTCAATATGATCGATCCAAAACCACCGAATCCCCAAAGCCAGAATAATATTTATTTTATGAAAGATCGAACGAAATTTGTATTAATTAAAAAATCCCCGAGGTCTGAAAGCAATTAATACTTTTTTTTCTTTTAGCAAACGAAATCCCGGTAATTATCCACGTTCGAAATTAGATCCCCACAGGCTTGATTCATTTTATTAACTCTTCTAAAATCGAAGACTTTATTAAACACACTTATTTATATTTCAATAAATAACTTTACGTAAATTTATACATTTAAGTATATTTATTCGCGTTATTTATATAAAAAATCAGCGAGAATATTAATTGTTTACTGATGTGTGTTTTTATTTTGCAATTGTTTGCAAATTGTTTGGAAAATTTATTACGAATTTTACAAATTAATTGGAAAAGTTTGCTAAATTATATGTACTTGTTGATTACATCAGAAACGATTTTCTATTGCGCTTCTTTTCATATAACAATAGTTACGTAATGTTTTTTTAATCATTGAGATTTTGCGATTTTTCTATTATTTTGCGCGTCTTTACATTTAATTTATTTACTCGATAACCACTTACAATACGTATGTAGTTAAACATGTAACTTAAACACGAATTTATGACCTTTCCATTGAAAACATTTATTAATTTACATTATACACCGTTTATTTATTATAAGTTGTCAATTTTGACCAATTAAATTCAGTTTTCAAATTTTCGATTTATTTTGTTACAAAAATTCGAAAATAATTCAACTTTACATTCATGTTACATTTGTATTGAAAGAAATAAGCAATTCCGCATATTTTCAAGTAATTTATATTAATTAATATAAATTAATAATTAAGCTATGGCGATTTTTTGTAATATTATTACGTCTCTACAATTTATTTAATTACTCGATAACCACTCATAATAAATAGATCATTGTACTTGAAAATTAAACATAAATTATTGTTTTTCTAATGAACTCTTTTAAAAAATTGAAATAATCACAGTTTATTTTTATTAGTTGTCAAATTTGAGCAATTCAAATTTAGTTTTCGAATTATTATTTTTCTTTCGAATAATTCATAAACTGTTAAGCTTTATATATAAATATCATTACTTTCATATAATTTGATGTAATTTTTATTATACAATGTTAATTAATAACTGAGATATTGCGATTTTTCGCAATGCTATCACGTCTCTACATTCTATTTAATTGCTAATATAACAACTTATACTAATTAGATCATTGTACAATAAATTAAATATGAAAGTATGGCCTTTCCATTGAATCTATTTACAAATTTTCAGTATGCACCATTTGTTAATAATAAGTTGTCAAATTTGAGCAATTATATTCGGTTTTTTAATTTCCATTTTTTTTTAGAATAATTTGAAAAATTTTAAACTTTTTATAGAAATTTTATTATTACATCAGAAATAGTCATCAATTGTGCATATTATGATATAATTTTGATTATCTAATATTAATTAATAACTGAATATTACGATTTTTATTAAATGTTAACACTTCTTCACTTCTTATTGAATTACTCGTTAACCACGTACGCCAATTACATCACCAATTATTCAAATTAAAGATAAAACTATTATCTTTCTAATAATATTTACAATTTTATTATAATAATGCCATAAATAAAAGTTTTTTTTTGTGTAATCTATAAGCTTCATTGATAAATTATTTTATAATAAAGTGGAAGAGTGACCTCAACATCAAAGCAGAGGCGATCGTTTGTTTGTGAATTATATAACAAAGCGTTTGTATGGGATCAAAGGAGGCAATTTATTAGAAAATAATTGAATTTTACAAACAAACACTTTTGCAATATTTTTAAATAAATTTTATTAATAAAAATATTATTTTTATCGCAGATTTGTAAAACTTTATATTTATAATATTTTGTATTAAACTAAATCATTTGCATTAGAATTAATTAATTAAGTTTGAAATTCAAAATTTGCATTTTTCTGTGATGTAACGATGAACATTTTTCAGTTATTATTTCATAATTTAGGAAAATATTTGTAACAAATTTTCATAATGCTGAAATTCACATTAATTTAAGAATTATCCATTTGTGATCTATGACAAAGTATGGAAAAAATGCAAAATTTTGTTACTGAAATAAGTTTTGATAGAAATATTACGTTTTTCCAGATAATAGAATCAAAATTTGTAATATAAAAAATATAGTATGACAATGTTTGAAAATTTTTGATAAAAAAAAGCAAAATTTTGATATTGAAATAAGTTTTGAAGGAAATAATACTTTTTCCAGAGAATAGAATGTACAAAGATTAATAAGTGGAATGACTAAGCTCTAAGTATTTGTCAAAGTTGGTCAACTTTCACATTTTACAAGTACTTGAGTTACTTGGAAAGTATTATTATTAATTGGTTTTACTTTGAACAACTTTAATAGTAAACAAATTGAGAATTTTAGATTTCAAAGGTACTTGATGAGTTACTTGGCAAGTAATGTGTAAGCAGTAATTGAGTTTAAATAATAAAAATTTAGAAGTTTCCTTAACAAAATAACAATAACAAATACATGATGCTTAATTTGACAAGTAATGTGTAATAAGTAATTAAGTTTAGATAAAATATAGAAATTTTGGAAAAAATGCAAAATTTTGATACTGAAATAAGTTTTGAAAGAAATCACAAAGCTCTAAATATTCCTGATTTCTGGTTTGAAGAAATCACGAAAGCATCGATCAAAATTTGTTATATAAAAAAAAATTGTATGACAATGTTTGAAAATTTTTGATAAAAAAAATGCAAAATTTTGATATTGAAATAAGTTTTGAAGGAAATAATACTTTTTCCAGAGAATAGAATGTAATAAGATTAATAGGTGGAATGACTAAGCTCTACGTATTCCTGATTTCTGGTTTGAAGAAATCAAGCATGCAGCGATCAAAGAAAAAAAAATGTTGTGACAAGAAATAAAGAGAAGCATTATTGTATCAAAAGAAAACCGTTTACGTAACTTGGGTTTGTCTAATACGTTTTTCTCCTTGTTTCTGCTCTATTTTTTCGAAATGCCACTGATTATAATAACAATAATAATAAGTAATTTTCCGCTTCTGAATCGAAGGTAATCGACATAAATTAATAATCGACTTACCAACAATTTCCATTTACATTCACTCAATGCGAAGCTGCGAAGTGTCGAAGGTCATCATGATGATCCGAAGATTTCACATAAATCCATTGCAACGAAATGCAGGAAACTACTGCACTTCAACGATTTTACTTTTAATTCGTGTAACGCATCAACGGATTTCTGCTGCAGTTGTTGTTGAGGTATCAACAGAAAGTGCGACTTTTAACTTCTATCTTCTATCTGCAAGTATAACCCAATGGATTGTTGGTAGCAAGAGAACCCTACTACTACTACTATTACTACCTCCGATTCGAAACGATTTCTACCGTCGGCGAGAGTTGCCCGATCGTCCTTGTCCTTGCTGGAAGCAGCACAACTTATTTTTTTTACCTCTTACTCCAAATTGTTTCTGCTTTAGTTATTTACTTATTTTGGTGCTGTTCTGTGTTTGTAATACAAGTAAAGAAATGTGTAGCATACCGAAAACTGGCTCAAATTTCTATTTTCCCAAGCGCACAAGACACACACACGTCCGGCATACAAATTTCTTCGGCAGTTGACACTCTTAGCAATCCAACCTCGTCTCTGCTTACCACAACCATCGAACTTTGATCTATTTCAATGTATTCGAAAGACGATATTGAGAAAATTTCATTTGGTTTGGAAACTCATTATATTTACCTCAAAGACAAGAAAAAAAACAATTTTTACAAGAAAATAAATAATTCAATAATTTTTATTTTATTTTACAATGTTTATTTTAAATAATTTATAATAAATAACTCTAAATCTCTTAGAAAATTGTTATTTTCCATTTAACAAAGAATTCATAGTTTTTTTCAAGTTTGCTAATTTTTTGCTAAGATTTATTCAATAAAATGTTAGAATTTTGTCCACATTATATTTTGAAACTTTTATTTGGTAAAATTTATTTATAAACCATTACAAAAACACATAAAGATCAGATTAATGTATTTCTGTTAAAATTCAATGATTATAAATTAATATTTTGATTAAAGTACTCTTTAATCACTCAATTAAGATAAAGCCAGAGAATAGAATGTACAAAGATTAATAAGTGGAATGACTAAGCTCTAAGTATTTGTCAAAGTTGGTCAACTTTCACATTTTACAAGTACTTGAGTTACTTGGAAAGTATTATATTATTATTAATTGGTTTTACTTTGAACAACTTTAATAGTAAACAAATTGAGAATTTTAGATTTCAAAGGTACTTGGAAACTCATTATATTTACCTCAAAGACAAGAAAAAAAAAACAATTTTTACAAGAAAATAAATAATTCAATAATTTTTATTTTATTTTACAATGTTTATATTAAATAATTTATAATAAATAACTCTAAATCTCTTAGAAAATTGTTATTTTCCATTTAACAAAGAATTCATAGTTTTTTTCAAGTTTACTAATTTTTTGCTAAGATTTATTCAATAAAATGTTAGAATTTTGTCCACATTATATTTTGAAACTTTTATTTGGTAAAATTTATTTATAAACCATTACAAAAGCACATAAAGATCAGATTAATGCATTTCTGTTAAAATTCAATGATTATAAATTAACATTTTGATTAAAGTACTCTTTAATCACTCAATTAAGATAAAGCTAATTTCGTTTTGTAAATGAAAACGGTGCTGAAATCGGATTAACTGAAGATCGTGAATCCTATCATCATCGTCGTCACCTGTTGAGCGAATTGAGGTGGGAAGAAAAGGTTTGCCGTCTTCGCATCGGTACTGGCCCAGAGGGCGCTGCGTGCGTTTTTTTCGGCCTCTTCGGAATAGGATTACATCCAGTGTCTCCGTTACGCAACGGGCTGTAACGTCCTCCTCCAAGCAGCCGCGGCTCGTCGAGTGCGGTCGAACGATGATGATCCCACGCGTTTCCCATCCGAAGGAGTCAGTGAGTGTTACGTAACAGGAATTCGGTCCTCTAACACCTGCATTCTCGGTGGATTATGGTGCGTAATGTTGATCTGGTACTAATTGAATTCAAGCACCTGTTGATCTTTGAGTGTGAAACAAAAGACATATGCAATGGATTTGTATAGAAGTATTTGGTTCAGTTATCTTTATAATATAATGTTATATTCTCCACATTACATAACTGTTTTATATTTGTTTTTATGCTCCTTGGGAGTAATGAATTACTATGGAAACCGATGATAGATTAATTCAAAATGTCAACTGTCAGTTGTCAATGTCATCATATATACCGACTGTCAATAATTATTTTTATATAATCATTTATATAATCATATTCAGAAATTTCGTCAACCTGTTACAAGTTTGTCAACTTTTATATTTTACAAGTACTTGAGTTACTTGGAAAGTATTATAAGATTATTAATCAATTTTAAAAATCAAAATGTAGACATTTATACAACTTTAATAGACAAATTGAGAATTTGACATTTTATAGGTAATTGATGAATTACTTGGCAAGTAATGAATAATTCAGTTTAGATAATCAAAATTTAGAAATTTCATCAACTTTAACATAAGTTTGTCAACTTTCACATTTTACGAGTACTTGAGTTACTTGGAATGTATTATATGATTATTGATTGGTTTTACTTTGAACAACTTTAATAGTAAACAAATTGAGAATTTTAGATTTCAAACGTACTTGATGAGTTACTTGGCAAGTAATGTATAATCAGTAATTGAGTTTAGATAAAAAACATTTAGAAATTTCATCAACTTTCATAGTACATAAATTTGTTAACTTTTACATTTTACAAGTACTTGACTTACTTTGAAAGTATTATATGATTAATAATCGGTTTTACATTCTTTTATAAAATTTTGAAATTTGTACTACTTTAATAGTAGACAAATTGAGAATTTTACATTTCATAGACACCTGAAGAGTTACTTTTCAAGTAATGTGTAATCAATAAATAAGTTTAGATAATTAAAATTTAGAAATTTCATCAATTTAACATAAGTTTGTCAACTTTCACATTTTACAAGTACTTGAGTTAATTGGAAAGTATTATATGATTATTAATTGGTTTTACTTTGAACAACTTTAATAGTAAACAAATTGAGAATTTTAGATTTCAAAGGTACTTGACGAGTTACTTGGCAAGTAATATGTAATCAGTAAATGAGTTTAAATAAAAAAACATTTAGAAATTTCATCAACTTTCATAGTACTTACATTTGTCAACTTTTACATTTTATAAGCATTTGACTTACTTTGAAAGTATTATATGAATAATAATTGGTTTTACATATAAAATTTTTGAAATTTAACAATTTTATTAGTAGAGAAATTGAGAATTTTAGATTTCAAAGGTACTTTATGAGTTACTTGGCAAATAATGTGTAATCAGTAATTGAGTTTAGATAATAAAAATTTAGAAATTTCTTTAATAGTAAGTACTTCACAACTTGAGAATTTTACGTTTGACAAATACATGACGAGTTGTTATTTGACAAGTAACGTGTAATAAGTAATTGATTTTAGATAATCAAAATTTAGATAATTCCTCAACAATTCTTCACAACTTGAGAATTTTACGTTTGAGAAATACATGACGCGTTACTTGACAAGTATTATGTAATAAGTAATTGAGTTTAGATAATCAAAATTTATAAAAAAAATTAACAGTACTTAACAACTCGATCATTTTACGTTTGACAATTACATGACACGTTACTTGACAAGTATTATGCGTAATCAGTAACATTTTTTAGTTTAAAATCTAGAATTTTCATCTTTATCAATAAAATAATATTGGAAATCAGTAGATAATTCCAAGTTACATAATAACGCTGAGAAAGCTGAAGAAGCTAAACGGAGACAAACTGCCGTTTAACAGCATCAAAAGAGAGGTTACAATCTGTACGTGTGTGTCGTTCTTGTCTCTCCTTTTTTTTTATTGGTTGGTGTTGATCTCGTGCGAATGTAAAACCGCTCGACGTTTTCACTCCTTTTGTCTCTCTGCGAAACTTAACGACCTTTGTTCGCTCGCTGCACTTGCGTCTGGTCATAAATCGAGGCGTTACATAATCGAGACCCGTGCCTTCGCTCTCCCATTACACGTGAATAATGTACGCTTTAATTGATAGTTATTACCTGGGAGAATAATAAAAAAAAATAAGTAAAATATAAGACAAATCGTTTGTTATTCAACAAAAGTGTTCGGAAAGCTTTTTCGTTTTCATATTTTGATCATAAAAAAAATGTATATTTAGGAATTAGTTTACTAATTATATTTTAAATACAATCTATGTTTCTAGTTTTTTTTCCGTTTTTCTTCAATATTTTTTTTAGATTATTTAAGTTATAACTAAATTCATAGTTAATCAATTTTATAATTTTTACAATAGAAATTAACAAATTTTATTGAAGCGCCATCTTTTAATTAATACAAGAATATCAACTTGTTTACATTGAAAATACTTATTTTCTTTTATATTATTTTATAGATCCAATTAATTTTGTCTAATATCCAATAGTAAACAATTTTTTATTGAGAATAATCAAAGAAATTACCAATTTTCTAAAAAAACTCAATTGTTTCAGGATAAATCCGGGAAATCCCATCATCCATCATCGAGTGTTTCGAATAAGGTCAGTTTTATCCACAATACAAACCACAAACATAAAAACCATACATATTTGTGTTATCTTTTACTACTATTAATATTTCTCCTTACATTCAACTCTGGAGTGATACAAATTGCGTGCGTACA